GGAAGAAGAAGAAACAGTCTAGCAATGCGGAATGCAATATCTGTCTCCTTTGTCTGCCTGTCTGTCTGTCTCATTTCCTCTGTCTCTTGCCAACTAAAGTATTACCTTGACATACTATACTGTTACGTAATATGTATGTAGTAACAGATAGATAACACTCTGTTGATTGAAAGTGAATGATATTGCTATTTTCATGTGTTAAGTGTACAAATCAGCTTCAATTTACTAATATATATATATATATATATTATATATATATATATATAATATATATATATATATATATATATATATATATGTGTGTGTGTGTGTGTGTGTGTGTGGGTGTGGGTGTGTATGTGTGTGTGTGTGTGTGTGTGTGTATGTGTATGTGTGTCTATATATATATATATATATATATATATATATATATATATATACATATATATATACATACATATATATATATATATTTGTCTTAATTTCTCTATATTTGTTTTCCATTCATCCGATTCTATCTTCATCTGTCTTTATGTCTATCCATCCATACACACACACATATACATATTTACGCGTCAGTTTATGCATCCAAGAACATAAATTGAAGCAAAGATAGAGATCGACACACACACATATATGTGTGTGTGTGTGTTTTAGCACACACACACACACAGATATATATATATATAAATATAATAAATATATATATATATATATATATATATATATATATATATATATATACACACATATATTTATAAATAGATTGATAGATAAGCAGACGCTGATGTACATGTATGTGTATGTGTGACTGTGTGTATGTATATATGTATATCTGTGTGTGTATGCGCACATACACACACGCACACACACACACACATATGTCCGTCTGTGTATACATACATATACACATATGTGTGTAAGTAAACAAAACGAGATTGGAAGAACCATTCAGAGTGACAGACAAAAATATCCACAACGAATCACTGGTGCATTAATGATCAAAAAGCAACGCTATTACACAGAGAGTCCACTTAACGAACAACCCTATCCTTACTAACCAGAGCAGAGGCCATCCTGATATCCAAAGCTGTTGCTGACGGAACGATTACTAACGAGGGTGCGCAAAGCATCTTAAATATATACCGTAAAGAGAGTGTGTCCGTCCGTTGAGAGCTTTGGACAATGGTATGTAACATTCTCTAATTGTTTGCTCTGTGTCACCTTTGTGTAGTAGACAATAGGGGAATATGGATGGAGAGCAAGCATCGTTAGTTGCCGGGTTGATGTAGTTTTGAACAGTATTTTCTCATGGTTTGATTTGTCTCTGTCATTTACGATCAAGATGAATTATAGTCACATCAGTTATAGATTATCACTTTTTTGTTTTAGAAACTTTGGTAGTGTTTTTTCTTTTCAGTATTAGCATCACTATCATCGTCCATGCCTTTATTATTAGTGTCATATCTTTTATTGGCATATTGTCATCATTTTAATCATTACGTTCACTAACACCATTAATGATTTTGATGTTGCTACCGTCTTATGACATTTGCCATCATCATAATTACCACGTAATGTTATTAATAAGATCATTACCGCTTACATCTCTATCATCACAGTGCATTACAGCGATAATGAAGAACAGCAATATTTCATATCTTATCTTCATAAGCTGTTCCTCGGACGAGGAATTAATCCTGCTATATTCTGCAGTGTTAACAAAAGGAAGCAAGAAAAAAAAATCAACGATTTGTACATTCCTTTCTATTAATCTTTTTTAGGCATTTTTTCCCTCCTATCCCTACTCCTTGTGAGTTTTACAGTTTTACTCGTGACTCGAAAATAAGAACTGTTTTTTTCCCAAACTACAAGAGATATAAAGATAAGAAAATTGGTACTAGTACTGAAATGCAGTCACTCGTAGAATTTTAGCATTAATTGTGTTGCAGTATTAGAATACACTGTCTAACAGAATCTATTGCAGTATAAAATACACTGTCTAATAAAATATATTGCAGTATTAAAATGCAATACAGTATGTTGCAATACGAGAGTACACAAACTAATACTGAAGGGCTATATGGATATTCTCATTTGCCATAAGAGTTATAACTTCCATAGCTATGAGAGACGCTCCCATAGTCACCATACCCACCATATCCACCATATCCACCTAACCCACCGAGTCCCCCAAATCCACCAAAACCGCCTAAGCCGCCAAGTCCACCGTAGACTCCATATCCACCATATCCACCGTATCCACCAAATCCACCATAGCCTCCGTATCCGCCAAGTCCTCCAAATCCACCCAGTCCTCCAACGTGGCCGTAGCTGGCCTTGGCACTCCCCTCCGCCGTCGAGAGCAGCGCTGCGGACGCCACCAGCAGCGCCAGCGTGGATTTCTGTTGGCCGGAAGGATTGCAGTGAATGTTGACGCTCACAGACACTCGCACTCTCACTCGCATGTGTGTGTGTGTGTGTGTGTGTGTGTGTGTGTGTGTGTGTGTGTGTGTGTGTG